CGGATGCGGAGTCAAGCTGCTGCCTCAGAGGTTTGTACCCGCCGCCGATCCCTAGGAGTGTTTCTAAGGACTGCTGTTGCCCTGCCCCCATGATGGCTCACTGGCGGGTCGCGGATTGCGGATCGTGGACCACAGCCTGCCACGTATGGCTACGAGCAGCCGACCTGGGCTTCGATTCAGGGGCGACGCGTGAACGCGTCTTGGCCACGCGGGCAAAACAAACCATGAACCGCTGCCCGTATGAGGGCTCCTGTCATTGGTGCGATCCATTCGAAGCCACCATTAACCTCATTTACCCTACAGCTTGGTCTGATCGGGTTGCGAATGCCTTCATTACGGCCCTCCCAGGGCGAATATACGAGAAACTCCTCAAAATCTACTATTTCAAGTATATCAAGTTTGGGGCGAAATAAAATTACTTACTTGAAATACATTGGATGGTCAACTTACTTGACTTACTTGATATACTTGACTTGATACTTGAATTGGGGTCAGCGCTGCTTCAACGCTAAACACTACAGCTGGCAGTCTGGCCGTCTCGACGGCCGAGGCGACGACATCGCTCACTGGGCAGCAGAGAATGGTCTCCGCCTGCTCAATCCGACAGACGTGCTCACGAACCCGCATGGCAACACTATAGACATTGCCTTTTCCAACATATCCCTGTCAGAGGCTGTGGTGGAGGACCACCCGGCCACCAGTTCCGACCACTTCACGCTCAGTGTGACACTGCCCGACGTGGGCTTGGCGCCAATAGCACCTGGAAAGGTCCGCGTCACGACGGAAGACGAGATCAAGCGGTTCGTAGAACTCGTCCAGTATGGGTCAGCGGACATCCCAGCTCCGACGACAACTATCCACGACCTTGATGCTCTTGCATCCGCCCTGGTGCGCCTCCTCCAAGTGGCGGCGAAGGTCGCCGGTCGCCCCGTTCGGAAGCAAACCCGCAGCGCGCCGTGGTAGACGAGGAATGCCGACTAGCCGCAGTGGAATACCGCGCGATCAGAAGAGCTTATCCCCTTGGATTTTGTCGGGAAGTTCGGCTCGCCAAAAAGGACTTCCAGAAGTGCGTCTGTGTTTAAAGCCGTCCGCTGGCTGAAGTCTCCAGGTGCCTTCCAACCACCGCCGCTCGAGGTAGATGGCGAAGTATACGAAACGCAGCTCGACAAAGCAAATGCTCTTCGACGAGCCACGCTGGAAAGACGAACTTCAGAAGACGCCATACTCGACCCGTGGATCCCAGTCACCGCGACAAGACCGATACCGTTCTCTCAGGATGTATCACTAGCCGAGGTGCAGGACGCGACCATCCGCACGGGAAACACATCTCCTGGCTCTGACAACATAAGTGTCAAGATGCTCAGAGCGGCCTGGCATATCATCGGCGAACATGTCCGTCGTCTATACGAGGGATGCCTCCGACGCGGTCACCATCCCCAGCCGTTTAGGGAGGCGGAGGTGGTCATGATAGCGAAGCCGGGTCGACGAAACTTGTGGACACCGCGTGCCTGGCGACCAATCTCACTGCTCTCCTGCCTAGGCAAAGGCCTCGAGAGGCTCATTGCGCGCCGTCTAGCGTGGGCATCCATCCATTACGGTGTACTCCACCCCCAACAACCTGGGGCCCTCCCGAAGAGATCCGCCGTCGACCTCGTGGCTGCTCTCGTGCACGACATAGAAGAAGCATTTGCTCGCGGACTGGTTGCCACGCTGGTACACTGGACATCCAAGGAGCCTTTGATACCGCCCTCCGCAACCGACTGATCCTCCGTCTCCGCCAGCAGGTATGGCCGGAACACCTCGCACGATGGGCTGGCTCCTTCATGTCAGACCGCTCGGCGTGCGTGAGATACCAAGACATTACCACGCCCAGTTCCCCACTTCAGTGTGGACTGCCGCAGGGTTCGCCCGTCTCGCCCATCCTCGTCTTGCTCTACACAGAGCCGATCTATCGCCTGGGTAATCCGAAGGGTCGATTCGGCTACGCTGATGACACTGGCATCCTTTGCGTAGGAAACTCGCTGGAGACGACGGCCGACCGGGCGTCGCGCTATGTCAGCGAGCTCGTAACATGGGGCACCGCCAACGGGATAAGCTTCGATCCTGCAAAAACCGAGGTCATGCACTTCTGCCGAACCAAACCCAAAGTGTCCCCGCCTATCTTCCACGAGGGCGAGAGACGCCTGGAAAAAGCGATGCGCTGGCTAGGCATTTGGCTCGACAGCACTCTGACGTTCAAGACCCACGTCGAGAAATGGACAGCCAAGGCGCAAGCCGTGGCGCACCACTTGCGAGGGCTCGCCAACCAGGGTGGTTTTCCATACCAAAGTATGGAAATACCCTTTCCATAACTAGTTATTACTAGTTAACCACTGGAATTTCCCACCATCCTGTAGCCGCGCGGCTGGTATCTCCCAACACCCGACTTTCCGCTTCTACCCATGGGTTGCAATACTACCGTTTGGGGATCAATGCAGCCGCATTCTAAACCAGCGATATGTAAGCTGTTGTTGAGCATACAATCGTGTGAATAGGCACATTTCGTCGCGTGAAATGGTGTCGCTTTTTGGGCCTGCCGTAGGTCATATATTCGAAACGAACTGTCCCTCGAAGTGTGGACGCACTAATAGTGAAACTATTAGTGCGAGATTCTCGCACTGAACTACTGGTCCGTGCTGTTTAGCTGAACTGAACTATCAGTGTAGTGCAAGAGTTCTACACTAAACTAGCGGTGCAGTGCGGGAGACTTACAGTGAACCAATAGTCCACGCACTGTTAGTGCGCACTGCAGTGTGCACTAATAGTACAGTTCATGGTGCGCACTATTGGGAGCGCTGATCGACGCCTCGCGACGTCCCAGATGGATTGGAAACCACAGCGAACAAGCATTAAATTTCACTTCTCAAAACTACATTGAACGACTCTACACAACACCGACATGATGAGCTTGACGCGTGACCCGGAAGCGGGGCGGGACATGGTGCCCGACGAAGGCTGGCAAAGTCTAGAACCTGATCCCGAGATCTTGGAACTGGAGGCTCAGAGGGACAAGTTGAAGAATGGGCGTTATCGAATTCGAGGCACCAAACACGAAGACAAGGTACGACAGCTCACGAAGACGATCCGAACGAGGAAGGCGCAACGCGAAAAGATATTCGAGAATACTCTCGGGAGTACTACTTCTACCATTGTCCCACATGGGAGATTGAGCAGCAGCATGCCGGTGATGACCATCTGGTCGACGAAGCATATTCACTACCAGCGATCGATCTTCACATACCGGAGCGTGCGCAGCTGGCAACTTTGCTATGTCAACAAGCAGATGGCCTGGATTTCGACAGGTTCTTGCAGCTGCAAATCGAGGTCGCCGAGCTCATGGTGTCTGTTATCGGAAAGCGAGACACGGTCAAATGGAAGCGCATCGTTAAGAAGGTCCAGAGCGGCATCCCTTGCCCGTAACCGGACAAATCACCGGAGCCCGACCGGTTCCCGCTGCTCATGAGGAAGGCACAGTGTCCCCGTTGCATCGGCGATGAAGCCATGTCTGTGGAAGACCGAACATTCGCCTATTGCCGGCTAGCCGTGATGAACGATCATTTCGATCGCGAACACCTTGTCACAATGGAAGATGGAACGCGAAGGCTTCATCGGCTGCATGCACCCGAAGTGCAGAGACGCGGACCTTGAGCTGCACAGTCTTGATCATTTTCGGAATCACATCTACAACGTACACGGCGTTGCTCTTCGGCCCTCGCGTCGATAGCGTGCCGCTCTGACAGATGTAATGAGCGACCGTCAAGGCCATATAGGAACTTCCCTCCGGCCGTAATACAATCCACCACTACCACCGTAGAGGCACTGGTAATGCCCTGGCAGTCCGAACGACACCCGTGAAGCAAAGGCAGAGCAGTTGCATAATCTATCCAAGTGTGTCGCCTCCTGGCTCTACATACACAAATGTCTATTGTACCGATTGCGCTACGAGCGCAGCACCCAGGCTTGAACCGTCTTTCGCGAGCCCGATTTTGATCCGTTTCTCCCCGTCCAGCCCGATTCCTGGCACCTGCTGCAGTGCTCGCCGCATTTCTTTCTCGAATGCGGGATGAAACTCGAAAAGAGAACCTTCAATGCCAATGTCGATGCTGTCGCATCTGTCTGTTCGCCGCACCCCATTGTCCGACGGAGACGTCAAATCGGTATCTTCCACTGTAAAGCAGCAGAAGACGTACTTGAAAGCTCGGCGAACGAGTGTCCATAAATTGGAAGGCGCCCAAGACCAAGATGTCCGTGTTTCCGTGACCTCTTGCTCGCGATAGACACTTTCTGTACCCTTCACGGCCGGGTCGACGGCTTCGCGACGGCCAGACTGAAGAATAATTGCAGCCGTTGCAGCACCGGCCAGGCGAGCGGCACGTCGGACGACGGCTGTAGAGATGAGGCGCAGCGCGAGCGCATCGTTGACGGACACGCCTTGTGCACCGAGGACCTGCGAGATGTGACGCCTCGACTCCTTGAGCGATCCGTCCCCATCTTCGGCGATGACTGACAGGAAGGAGCTGTCCACGCCTTCATCTACGTACAAGGGGGAGGCATCTTGTAAGACCATATCGAACAGCTGAGCCCGGTATAACTCAAGAGCCGCTAGTCGTGCCAGCTCGCCGAGATACATGCCTGATGTCAGTTTCTCCAAGATTTGCCTGGTCGGGTTTGCAGATGCCAGGTCCAACTGCGTGTCGTACGGTGTCATCGGCACAATGGTGTTGTCGTCGTCGATCCAGGCACCCCACTCGGTGTTCATCACCATCAGATCTCCCGGACGGGGGTTGCGAAACGCGTTGTGGGTGTGCATTTTTCGCACGTTCTCCAGGCGCTCAACGTACGCAGCATTGGTCCCCGTGCCGAAGACGGCGCCAACGAGTCTCGAAGAGCTCCATGGCGACGTGTAAGCCCTTGCCATCAGCGTACCGACACTGTCGCTTGTCATTGCTGAGACGAGCACGGGTAATTCGAGGTCGTCAATTGCTTTTTGGAGCATCTCGCAAGGGTCCCTGTCCAGGGCGTCCGCGATGTCCCAGCCCTTGTCCCACTGCAGCATTGTCCCGCTGGAAAGCGAGTGACTCTCGTATGTGAAGCTGAAGGTGAAGCCGAGCTTTCGATACTGGTCTCTGTGCAACGTCTTGCCCTCGACGCTTTCGACATCCGCCTCTGGATTTTGGCTGAGAAAGTCTGCGATCTTGTCTGCGACAAAGGCGAACAGGGGTTTATGGCTGGAGCTGACCTTAAGGGCGCGGGGAATGGCATGCTTGGTTTGGATCAGCGTGTACGTCGAGTCCCCGTGCAAATTTACTGAGCAGACCCGGCAACGCGTGCCGCCGAGGTCGACCGCGAGGAAAATGCCCCTTTCGGAACCATTAGGGACTTTGGTCACGAAAGAAGGAATCTGCGTTGCGCCATGCTGCTCAAGGCCGTTTTCTATCACTGTGTTAGACCAAATCGACGCGGATCTACAAGAGTTTCGGTGCAGATTGAAAACACATACGTACTTGCCGCAGGCAGTGATCTGCTGCTCTGGCGATATCGTCGGGTGTGAGGTCGAATTGTTGGGCAATTCTCTTAGCCTCTGCGAGAAGCCCTGTGTCAGGAGTGGGCTTGCTCGTAGACATTTTTTTCGCCAATGGGGTAAAATAGCTTCGTGGCGCAGTTGTCAGTACATTTTGGGACAGACCTGGACAAGATAAGTGAAGATGCATCGGGTCCAATTGTATGTAGCGCAAAAAGAGCCGGCGCAGACGGAGTTGCAACGTCGCACCGGCGAAGCCGGTCGTCAATACAGCTCACGGACCAAGTGGGATCAGTGAAGCATTCAAACCGCACTTCGAGGACAGGCTCTTGCCGCGTAGGTGGGAGGCTGGCCCGGCTACTGCGCCTGAGTTCACCGGACGGCCGAAGATTGCCGGGCGCTGCACACAGGCCTCAGCCGGATATGCCCGGAGACAGAGGGTCAGCCAAAACTCGCTCGCGGTGATGAATCTCGGAGTAAAGTGGACACCCGCCGTCCGCGGAGACAAGATCGACGATGGCGATCTGGGGCAGACGTGTCATTGAGGTTGTACGAGCGTTACCCATTAGATGCCTCTTGCCATCCCATACCCATCCATTTCCGTCCCCCCTCCACGACCCGAGGGTCAGGCGATAGCAGTGCCGCCTACCCATGGGCCCTGCTTCTGTGGAGAAGGGAACCTGTTAGATTCACGACGCAGCTCTCGAATCACGATGGGGTCTCTGTAGTCAAAGATGAGGCCAGAACTGTTGATTCCATTGCTTGAACCTGAAGTTCTTGTCCGTTCGGCTCGGCCGGGGAGTGCCTTGCTCTACCCTACGCCCAGCCACAGCCACAGCATATCGTTATATCCGAATGCTCGCGCTCATGCAGTTAACGTTAGTTAACAAAATATGCGGCAATCGGATACAAGGATAATTGGTTGGTGGTGGCTGGGCGTAGGGTAGAGCATCGACTCCCCCGCCCACAAGAACTTCAGGTTCAAGCAATAGAATCAACAGTTCTGGCCTCATCGTTGACTACGGGAACCCCATCGTGGATCGAGCGCTGCATCCTGAATGTAACAGGAACCCCGCAATTTTGCAACTGGCGGAACCCTGTTATCTCGACAGGGAGCAACTGGGCTTTTACCCTGACCTCTGCCGCCATCTGCTACTCCAGACTGTCGCATTGCAAGCGACTAGCGACTCTCGACCAATTGCCCTTCGTCATGCGAGCGAGACGATCCGGACTTGTTCTGTCCTCGCCGCGTTCAGTTTAATCTCTTGGAATATGACCGCCGGATAACAACAGTTGACAACACGGCCGGCACGAAGCTGCTTGGGCGACACTTGATCTAGCAGGGCGCGGGCACCAGTGGTCCACTTCCAACACAGCGATTCACCGGCAATCATGTCACCCACGGGGAGCGGCTCGGCGATGGACGAAGACTCCACAGAGCCCAAGGCTCGCAAGGCCTGCAGTCAGTGGTGCTCATTCCAGGGCGTGCGTGCGTGAGATTGACGTGCGCCTGCTTACCATGTCCGTGTGCGACAGTCAACTGTAGGCGGCAAAAGATGAAATGCAGGCTCGACAATGGCACCACATGTCGTCGATGCCAGCGAGCAGGGCTGCCTTGCATCTTTGTGCCTCGCGCGAATGCACTGGCCTTCGTGGTACCCGCGTCGATGCCCTTGGATGAGCTGACAGGCTCCTCCGAAGTGACCAAGGACTTGCTTCGGCGGGTTCAGGCCATCGAGGACCATCTCGGGTTGTCTGTCACAGAGGTCGGGCATCGCGTGGCTCACGAAGTCATATGCGACAAGACACAGCCTCTCGATCAAGACGCAGCATTTGCGAGCTTGTGGGAGGCCGCCGCATGCTTGGAGCGATGCACACCAGGGCCACGGGATGCTGCGCTGTGGGCAAGAAGCCGGGTCAAGTATCTGTGGCAAACGTTTGGGCCCCTATTTGACATCATCCAGCCTGAACGTGGGAAACAATCTGACAAAGCGCTGTCCAGTTTCCATGACAAGATGCCGGGCCTCCATTTTCTCCCCAACAAGCAGACCTTCTCTGACCCGCGACCGCTCCTCCTGGCGGCCATGCTCTACTGCTCGAGCGTCCGGGGAGCGCCGGAAGATGCGGCCTTTGCGTCGCAATACCTGAACGTCTTGTGTTCTGCGATTGCGCAGCTGAGCATCCCCGGGAGCGAGATCGGAAGCGCGCCGTCTGATGAGGACGACCCGGCAGCCGTTGAGGACTGGGCATTCCAGACCGTCCTAGGCATCGTCCTGGCGGGACTGTTGAACGAGGCGAATGTTCGTGAGACGGGCATATGGATCTCTATTGCATATCGCCTGATCCTCGAGCATTGTCCGCCGCACATGGACGAGCGATGCCGAGACTGGCAACGGATCTTCAACGGAGTGCAAATCGTGGACTTGGAGCACGCCTCGCTTCACCTCTCCTGCCCCGTCATACCGATCGAGTCTCCACTGCCGGTGCTGCAAATATCACACATGGATCAACTATATCGGCTATCACGTATGATGAACACTGGGCTGACCCGGTTCACCGGTCGTGGCCTACCCACCATCTGGTCGTGCTTCTCGAACAGCCCCATCGACGCCGGGCAGGCCCCGTCGTATCCCTTCACGCCAGTCGATGCGGCCGTCATACGGGACTGGGCGCGACACTTGGATGACTGGCTTGTCGAGTTTACCAACTCGGGCGACGACTCGGACCCTCAGCAGCGTATGGTGGTGTTTCGCCAGTATGTGCTGCACCGTCTACTCGTTCTCTCCATCTACCATCCCGCCCGTGGCTGCAACCTGCACTCTAACAGCATCACCCTAAATGAGCAATATGAGCTGCTGGTATCTGCTCGCGCCACCCTCAAGCTATCCCTGCATGACAAGTCGATCTGGTCAAACTGGGATCTTGTCATGATAACGTGGGCAGCCTTGATTGTCATCCAGGGCATTGAGATTGGTGTTAGCGAACCGGACGGTGCGTGTTCACAGTAATACGCGCATGCTGTAACGCTCTGCTTACAGTTAGCAGATCTAGCGAGCATCCGCATGCATTTGGACATGCTGCGGGAGACGAACGAACCCAAGACTAGTTTTCGCGACAAGCTGGCGTCCCGACTGGAGCAGAGTCTTCAGACAGTCAATACTCCGAGTCCCGCAGCGATGGGCCACATGAACCAGGCGGCAGTAGAGTCAGAGTTTGACTGCTCCTGGCAGATCTTTGACCAGGCCGTCATGGAACAGGTCATGGTTCCGTTTTGGTCTCGACCGGCCGAGCTGCAACCCATGTAGCCACTGGCGAGATCAGCCGGATGCCGGGCAATGTGACGGGACAAGGGCACGAACGAGGTCGAGTGCGACTTGGGTAAAACGATTGTTTACAAAGAGAGAAAAGGAGAGAGTGAGAGATTCGTAAGGAAAGCTCTCACTCAAACTATGTACAATATTCATAAAGTGAGACATTGTATAAAAAGCATATATGTCGTCTGGTGATACCCTCACAGGCAACAAGTCAGCGACGTCGTCATATCTGGCCCCTTTGCCAGCATGTCAAGGTCCGATCAGCTCAGAATGGTGGGAATTTCCTCACAAGTTATATGCCAGCGCGTTGGGCTTGTTGAGAGTTAGTGCATTACGTGAGGGTCTTGCGGATGTACAGCTGACAAGGCAATAGCGATGTCACATTGCTAGGCAGTCCTCAGGACCACAACCAGGCTCTGCTTGGCCAAGCAGAAGGGTTCGCTGACTGAAACGACTGAAGGCCTATCTCAAGTCATTCTTTCATCAGCTAGCCATGGTGTTTACTTCGCGCTATTGTGCAATATAACTGTCATTGCAACACCGATGAATCACGCCGAACAGCGAGGCTGTCAACATCAAGCCGCTCATTCACGTAGACCGTTAACAGCACCGCTGCCTACCAATGGTGGGAACAACCTCACGCGACGCATCTGCTGCCTGCGATGTCTCAGATGCCTACGGCCAATCCAAGGCTACAACACCTACGGGTACAGGTATAAATTACCGACATCAGTCACTCATTAGATAGAAGAATCAAGAGTCTTTTGTTGCCCAATTCGCTGGGGATCTTCTACTCGGTCGTCAGTTAGTCATGCACACGTGCAGTGCGACAGAGGCCATGTGGACGGTTGAACGACTTCTGCGAAATGATAAGCCGGTCCGCCGTTTACCGGTGGCTAATATGCCGTGTCAATGTAAGAGGCTGGACTGGAGTTTGTTCAACAAGCAGGTGCCTTCGTGTTGTCCATCTAAAGCTAAGGACAAAAGGAGAAGAACTGGAAAGCTCGCAGCCCGGGGGCGGCTGGCAGCTTGTACTCAGGTGTCAGCAAACTGGGTTCACGGCGTCCATCTTTGGCGTCAGTCAACTGATGAGAATTATCTAAGGAATAATAGTTACAAATATTGTTGCTGCGGTCTTAGAAGGTTATAGAATTTGATCCCTGCTGGAACTCGGAAATTGCGCCGATTCCAGCAGCAGTATATTTTCCCTCAGCGGCCGTGTGGCCGCTCAGGTCCCGATGTGGCACAAGACGTGCTGAGCTAGACTATCTAGAACACCGCCACGGAAGCCTAGCCAGTGCTGCTTGCAAGACCTCGCAAGGCCGAGCTGTCGAGGTCGAACCCGGAGGCGACTTTCCTACCTCCCGCATGGTAGGTTTTCTATCGCACAATACCACCCGGCCACAAAAGGTGGGCGCCACACTAATGTGCGGTGTATTACTGTTCATACGCCGTGTGACATTTTCGCTACGCACGCGATACAAGTGACTCTGGCCGGTCCCCACGGCAAATTCCCCAAACGTCCATCCGGCATTTCACTAGCTCGAAGCAGTGCTCGTAATACCCATGCCACGCCCCACTTTATTGGCACTCGCGAGCTCGCACCACCTAAAGATGGTGCTGACCACCAAACTTTGGGCACCACCAGAATTTGACCATTTCAGCACGCATCGCATTCAACCATCGCTACTGAGCTATGCCCTACGTCTCAAACGTGAATAAGCCATGGAATCACGTCTGGAAGAACCTATTCGTAGATTGGGAAACATGTCAACTTCGTTGTGGGAATTGGCGAGAGTATTAATTTCATACGTGGTATATCTCCAGCTGCCGCGCAATGGTACATGTACATACAGTCTTCCCACCACTCCTGGCCACCATTGTTACGCACCCTTCGTCACTCTCTCCTCCTCGTTGATCGCAGAAGAAATAACTCCTTCCAATCTGTAACCCTTGAACTTCCTCGCGGGCACGTTGTTGTCGAATAGCAAATCCAGTTCCTTGTAGGTTCTGCCCATGGTCTCCGGGACTCGGAAGAACGACCACACAAGGCACAAAGCCGCCAGACCTCCGAAGAAGAAGCCCAATTTCCCTTGTATATTGGCTTGGGCGGGGTTCTCGAGATACGGAATAGCGACGGTCATAACTGTCCTCTTGTCAGCGGGCTGTAGAGGTCATGACATGCGGGCTGCTCCAAACTTCTGACAACCAGGAGCAATGCGACATACCTATTCCCAAGAGAGCTTGTGCAGCAGTAGCAATTGCGATAGACTTGGAGCGCACACGTGTGGCAGAGCATTCTGAAAGGAGCACAAAGCAGATCGGACCGATGGAGATGTTGTAGAAGAAGTTCCACACCAGCATCAGGACTGACTCAGCCCAGATCGCACCAGAAGGACGACTTGGTACACAATCTAAGACACCTATGAGCAATTGGAGAAATGTGAGCATGGCGAGACCCCAAACGAAAAGGACTCGACGGCCAACGCGGACCATCAGGCCCCAAGAGACGAGCGTTCCCACGAAACCAAGACCTACAAGCGTTAATCAGCTGCATGCCGCAAACGATGGGGACGAATTGTCGCTTACCCAAAAAGCCTACCGCCATGTTAAAGGCTTGGTCCGTAGGTAGGCCAGCTTGTTCGAAGAAGTACGTGCCGTAGTTGATGAGGTAGATCCCACTCAAAACTTGGGCGCAATAGACGCCAATCGAAATCTCAGTACGGCGCAGATTCACCTTGCGGAAGCAATCCATGTAGGTGCTACCGGCTTCGAGTTCCTTCTCCAGACGATCGGTCTCGACAATGAATGCGAGACTGGCAGCGACGTTCACTTTGCTCGAGGCGAGCCTCTTGAGGGATGCCTCGGCATCCTCCATGCGACCCTTGCGCACGAGCCACCAAGGACTCTCAGGAACGAAAAACATGCCGGGAATAATGACGGCACACCAGAACCACTGCAGTGCGAAGGGAATCGAGTAGGCCCAGTGGGTGTCGAGCTTCTGCGTGCCGGCAGTGACGCCGTTGCCGAGCAGCTGGCCCATGACGAAGCACAAGTTGACATAGGCCGTGAGATGACCACGAACGGCGGTCGGGCAGACTTCTGAGGCGTAGGCGGGTGCAATGACGACGAATTGGCCGAGGACAAGACCCGCAAGAAGCTCGCCGGCGAGCAGGACATTGAGGGAGCCGGCGAAGAACTGGATAAAGACGAGACCGGCAGTGAGAATGACGCAGGCCGCAAAAGTGCGCTTGCGACCGAACCATTCCATGGGATAGGTAGCGAAGAGTGCGCCGACGACCTGGCCGATGGGGTTACCCATACTGAGGCCGGTCTGCCAGGAGGCATCGATCACGTACTGCAGTAGCCACCCGGTCAGTGCCTAATCAAAGCCGAGGCTGGTCATTTTTAGGTGACGATCCATGGACAACAAGGTTACCTTGCCCTCAAATTCGTAACCAAAGTCGCGTTGGAACTGGGGCGTAGAGTAGAGGTTGCCGATGAGCTGGGGATCAAAGGCCAGCATGATGACGCCCATGCTCACGAAGGCTGACCAGCCGATGGCCTTGGGGTAGAGGCGCAGGGCCTCCCCAAAGGTGAGCTGGCTCTCGGCGCGGATGGCTTCGACGAGCTCCGCGTGGGCGGCCACGGCATGTTTCTCGTCGGACGGCTGCGGGTGGTCGCCCACGCTGTGTTGGTGATGGTGCTCTTCTGCTGCCATGTCGTATCGGTCGCTTGGCGGACTTACACCAGGGGGAATACGGTTCACAACCACGGTGAACGCTTGCAGCTGTCAGAGACCGGTGGCAAGTGTATATAGCCAGATCACCCAGGTGCTTGTTACCACGTCAATCCTTTGGGGCTGCCACTTGCAGCCGTAAACCGAGCGTGCCCCCAGCTCCCCAGTTCCTCCTTCGCATGGCTCCCCTCTGGTGAGCAAGCCAAAAGTCCGGGGGGCGGCACCCGAAGGATGGATAGGCGAGCGGGGGACCCCTTTCAGCACAGCTGCTGCAGCCCTTCCGGGTACCCTGGCTAATGGCACCGGCAATCACCGGTCATTACCGGCGCCGGCCCCACTGAGCACCGAAAGGCGCCACAGAGACGACTCCTGTCAAAACGAGCCTGTGCCGTTCGCCCCCCCCCCCCAAAGGCGTTTCTCCACACGTCACGCCCCAGGCAATGACCTATCACCAGGGAACAGCCCCCCCAACATACACAGGTGAGGTAGTAGTCGCGTTTGCGACCGCTTGTCCCCGGAATTTGGGGGATACGGAGGCGTCAGGGCTGCGTCCCACGAAGCCGGGTCACTACGCTGCACCTGAAAGGGATTAGAGATTCGCCGGGCCGGTCGTTGGAATCAAAATGTTAGATTCACGATGCAGCACTCGAATCACGATGGGGTTCCCGTAGTCAATGATGAGGCCAGAACTGTCGATTCTATTGCTCGAACCTGAAGGTCTTGTGGATTCTCTCGAGCGGGGGGGAGTCGGTGACTACCCTACGCCCAGCCACAGCCACAGCATATCGTTATATCCACAACTCTCCCCTGTAAAAATCTGCACCCCTGAAGAGCACGCCGGATGCTGCTTGAAAGAGCAGTAGGACGAAGCAGCAGACCTTCTCGTGGTGTCCGGTGTCAGTAGCTGCGGTGCGCAGCGGTCGGTGCTGAGGGCGGCGTTGTGTGGTGCGCGGGGTTGTCGCGATGATTCGCGTCGCCTCGGCCCGCAGACAAATCCCTCACCTGGTCGGCAACCTGCGCATC